AGGGCAGGCGGACGGTATCAACAAAGCGCGGTATCCCATGCAACAAATACCATCTACTTTTGTCCATCCGGTTGTTTGGTTTGATTGAATAATAATAGATCCCTAAAAAAGGTACTCCTCTTACACCAAAATTTTTTTTATTTTTAAAGTTTTATTTTTATTTGGATTTTTCAATTTTATTTTTCCTTTTTATCCAAGTGAGACAGTGACATTTAAAGAGAGCCATTAAAGCATATGACGTCCCAGACAGCCACAAAGGAAAGGAACGCAGAAGACATTAGGTGCAAGCAGAGGTAAGTCGACTTGCATAGGATGGAGCCTCTACCCCGCCAGAGCATGCTCTCTTCGTTGTTCCATGTTTGGATAATGGGTCTGAATATAAACTTTCTTCTCTGTGAAATACGAAAATCGGGAATCAAGTGATCTACCCACCTTCTTAAGCTAATTTACGTAAAAGGTTGTTTCAGGTGGCTCTTTTTTAGGGAAAAAAAATGTACCGTTTCCCGCATTTTTCTTGTAGATATCCAAGGAATTGAACCACATTCGCTAGTTTTTTCAGTAGATAGAAAAAATGCTCGACCCTCTATTAACGTACGGCTCCAGCAGGCCTAGCCCCGGAACAGGAATAGTCAGCACGATGATCGACGCAAGCTGGCAGGAAACAATGAATCTGAATGGCTTCCAAACCTATTTGATAAGGTTGGAGGCTGCATTTTAGCGCTGGGCGCCAAAGGACGCATAATGCAATTGCCCCATCTGCCGCAGAAGAGGAATTATTAAATTTCCAGTTTGTCGAAATAAAGAAAGATGAGTAACTCAATTAAATCATTGGCACTGATAATCCGATCACTTCAAATTAATGAAAATAATATTTTTTTGCCGGGTCGCATCGGTGGCGCCGTTCGAGGCAAATTTGAGTTACGGGTGCGGGAGATGGCTTATTTAAGCGAATCTCTTTTTCTTCCCCAGAACGTAAGATAATACCTTGTAAAAGGACATTTACCAGGTTTTTAGTAGAGCTTGAAATCACAAAAAATTTCAGTGACCTTTGAAGACAGCTCTCTCCTGAAGTCCCTGAAACAAGGATCGGGATAAGCAAAAATTTCTGTACAAGGTTAGGGAGCGAATGGAATGTTCTATTGTCATGCTAAAGGAATACCGGGATTGAATTACCACTGATTGTTTTTTCAACACCGCGCTTAGTTATTCAAAGATTCGCGTTTTGTAAAATCACTTACTATTTGATCTGGAATAGATTCCCAATAAAGACCTGTCGGGTCGAAAACCAATGGATTTACAACTGCCAGAAAAGCTGTTTATTGAATTAATAAACTTACTATATAACTTAGGGTCGTAAATAAACGGGCCATAGCGCTTTTGTTAGCGTAGACGTATTCTCCCCGCTGCACCGTCTGGCCGCAGTTTACCCAAACGTCGGTGTAGGGCCAGTGCGTGCGACCATGATTTCTGTAGCCGGCGAACCACATCGTTAAGCAACTTTTATTGTTAAAGCAGGCATTGAAGCAATCCATTAGAGTAGTATATCCACTTTTCCAATCGCCCGGTCCCTGTCTTAGCTTGGTATTGTCGTTCATATGTCCAGCCTGAAAAGGAAAGCTCCAGATAAGTCAAAAGATATTATTTAAGCTTCAATCCACACAAGGGGATCAAAGACCAACAAGACCCGCAGTCGGATAGTTGGGTCCCGCCGTGGATGCAATTTCCTGCCGGGGTAGGTAATCCCCGAGTTTCGCTGAAAGGAAAAAATTTAAGGATTATTCCTCCAAAGGATATATACAGTCCTCGAAAAATTATAGTCTTGTTTTTCTTAAAATCTACACGTATATGATGTCATTAAGTTTGGCCAACCTGATAGTTTTCCAGACGCGATCATTCGAACCCCAGATGGCGCCGGAATCGACAAGAATCTGCAGTATAGTGAATACCAAAAGCTTTTTTAGGATCATTTCCCGAACGATGCACTGTAATAGTAAGCAGAAAAAAACTTTGGTCCCATGAGTGTCTCTTGTGTAAATTGGCGAAAGGATTGTTGATGAGTTCATTCGATAGAGATTCACTTCGGAACAAAGATTTGTTGTTCATTTTTGCGGAATGGCTGTCCCTGATTTTATAAAATTAAAAACTGCTTATGACGCCCATATATCAGTGCTTTGGGAGCGAGTTGTTAAGGTTTCGCGCTTGGTTTTTTAAATCTACAAAATTAGGGACAGTCATTCCGCAAAAATGAACAACACAGTCTTGTTCAGAATTCATCCCTTCTATCGAATGAGCGGGGTCTCGAATCGTTTTGCCGATGACGCCAAAAGGACACTCCTTGTAAGCAGTAATACAAGCTTAGGTGGCTAGAATGACAGAGAAGTTAGAAAACGCCTCTTTTTCCGAGGAAGGGGATGCTGAGCCTAGGGCCCGCCTCGAGGCTCATCTCTGGGTGGGCTTTGGAGGCCAAAGATCCGCCTCCAAAATCCCGCCCACCATGCTTATAAGTGGAATTTGGTAAAGCAAAGTGCCACATGACCATCTCTGACGACCCTACATCTAACGCCTTATCCTTTAACGTCACCATAATTCTTTAGTTCACCGATTCTCATTATTCTAACATTAGAAATAGATTCTCCGGCATTTGGCTTTCTTTTAGCTTTTTAACTTTCGAAAAACTTTACAATTTTAAGTTAGTTTTTAAAGGATGCTTTTACTTGCCAGCATCAAGCTACGAAAATAAATACTTGAGAGAAAGTAGGCAAGCCTGACGATTATCTTAGATTCATTAGAATTTTTCCCAAATCCTTTTACAGCCTTTGGATTCAAAAGTCGTAATCTTCTGCAGAAACCAAGCCAATTTTCCAATTTAGTTTCAAGCCCAATTGAAACAAGGAAGACCCAGAAGTTCCGCGGACGAGGACCGACATTTGAACGACAAGATGATCAGGGCGAAAGCGCTCGGGCTGGGTTGGCGTTGCTTGGTGGGTCCGGAGCTAACATTTTGCCAGTTCCGCATAAACTCTTTCTGGTGATTATAAAATTGTATGAACTTTGTAAAGTTCGATGGTTGGTCAGTGTATTGAGTGTTCGAGCGTTTTAAATAAATGGGGAGCGGTTTGTAAAAGTCGCGCGCGCTTTTGATAAATACCATATTAAATACTTTTAAAACGTAAAAATATGTATTTTAAGTTGCAATTGGTGGGAGAAGCTAAATAAAGGAAAACGTTATGCAGTGATGTGGTCTTGTGTTATACCGTCGATTGTAGCAGCCAACCCAAGTATGCAATATTACATACAAATAATAATTAAAACTTATATCCAATCTGAAAACATGTTAGGTATTCTATTCAGTTATAGTTTCAGTAGAGGAGATGACAAGGTAGTTAAATGGGTCCCTCTTTTTCTTGATAGTAATTCGACCTTTAAAAGTATCGTTATGTGCTTTGTATATTACAGGCCGCTCGTGCTCTTTTATTAAAAAAATAATAGAGACTCTCATTATTAGGCTCATTGCAGAGCCCATCCCTATCGGATCCTATTCGATGATTTGTCTTTACCATTTTTTAAAAATAAGCAGAATTTTATAGTATATTGTTGAGCAATATTGACGGAAGGAATAAACTCGTGATAGCAAACATTATGAATTTTAGGCAACTTATGCCGTAAAGCGTGTCCTGCCTAGTAATTCTACCCTAGAAAACTACGTACAAAAATACATTATTGTTTTCGGTTCAATATGTTATTTGTGCTAAAGCAAAACTGCTTGACTTTTAGCAAACCGCTCGACATTTACAAGCAAACGCCCCAACGCTCGCTTCTTACATACCGCCGACATTTGCTAAACGCCTGAACGCTCGAACGCCTGAATTTTACACAACGCCGGAACGCTCGAACGCTCGAACTTTGCATAAGTTGCCATAAAATTAGAACCTTGAATTTTCGGTAACAATTTACTTTACACCCCTGCACAGCCGGGAAGGTTCTCAAAGTCTGGGGTATTTTCGCCGCATTTGTCGGGATTTATGCCATTCGATCGATTGTCGAGAAATATAATAAGAGTTTTATTTGCGCCTGCAATAATGTAAAAGAAAAACGTTATCGCCAAAAACTTCCTGCTGGGGGGGGTAGTAAACCGCAAGCCGAATTTTCATTAAAAGTACGGACTCACCTAATTTTCTTTCAAAGCTTTTGGGTTATCCACTTCTCCCCTCCCGCTCTCCCTCTCTCTCTCTCTCTCTCTCTCACTCTCTCGCTTGATTCCGCGTTTCGTCAGCGCTCTTTCTCCATGTAGAGCAGAGAATTTCGCATTTAACAGTGCAAGCCTGCTACCAAGAACGGACGACATTAAAAACAAAATAGAAACTAAAAATACGATATTAATCTTTTAAGGTATCATATCAGATATCAATTAGTAGGGGATCGTATTTGAACTTTCAGCAGCACCTTGTCAGCAAGCTCATCTTGTCGCTGGGCAAGATGTTTTTTTCCGGGCTCAATTTTACACAGATGCCGGTAGAGTTGATTTTACGACACAGTTAGTAAGCCATTCTTTAGCGGACAGCGGCGATTGCTTCGAGAGTTTTTAAATGACAGAAACCTACTCTTTGTTGAATTGCGGTCAAATGGCATGCGAAAATGTAACGACGACGACGCGCCGACGACAACCACGACGACGACGACGACGACGACGACGACGACGACGACACAAATAACAACCACAACAACCGCGACGCATAACGAGTGGCAAAATCCCAGACGAAGACGACTGCCACTACAACGACTACGGAAGCCGAGCAGCACGTCGAAATCGACGACGAAGGAGCTGATTGCGTCGGCTTCCACGACCAAGGAGCTGAGCACCCCGTCAAGTTCAACGAGCACCAGCGGCACGCAGGCAACGAGCACGAGTAACGCATCAATTCAGCGCACAAAGCCGACGACTACGGTTTCGACAAGCTTCTACCTCAACGACGACGCTGAAAGTGATGACAACGCACTCACTTGACGAGCACGCTGGAAACGACGATTGAGAATGGGGTGACGGAAAAACGAGATGCTGATGAGAGCAGCACCTGACGACAAGCAATAACGAGCACGAGTTCGTCTATGACCTCAACGACAACTTCGGCTACGACAACGACTGAAGGCACCATCTTCGACCAGTAAAGCTACGGAAATCCGTCCACGTATCGGCCTGGCATTCCCACTCGGTCACCTGGAAGTTCTTCAGATTTTGATGAGACGACCGGCTCTGGAAATTTTACGGAATCTACGAATGCTACTGAATCCACTTCTGATACCTCGGACAGCTCGACAATGACGACCAGTGCAACTGCTGGTACTAACGCAACGGGAAGAGCAGACTTCGGAATCAAGCTCACCAAGCTCAGCCTCGACGAGCGGGACCTCGAGCCCTTCTATCTCTGCTGGGGCAACGAGTCGAACGACTTCTGGATCTAGCACGGCTACAACAACAACGGCAACCACGCTCATTTCACGAGGAGTCTGACAGCGAGTTCGACAAGTACTACGACTTCAAAAGACGACCTCGGAGCCGAAGAGCCTCGGATAACAACGTCTGAGCTTAACTACAACTTTTTGAAGAGCCGACGACGACTGAGGACTTGACCTCGGGAAGTTACGGATGGAACGACATCGGACCTGACATCATCTTCGAAAGTTCGACGCGATCTTCTACTGCTACGCCGACGTCTTCTACCACGAGACGATCCCCGGCTTCTGAACCTTCGACGACGGATTCTATCTCAATGACTCTGAAGCACCATCCATCGAGCTGACCACGGAACTATCGACTTCTGAAGGACCAGCGACCCAGACCGCAATGGAAATGTCCGACGACGGATTATTCTTGATGCAGAAACAGTCTCACTAGAATTTTCTACCCTTGCGTGGAGCCTATCCGATTCTACGACGGAAGAATCGACTATCTGGCCGACGACGGAAATTACGAGTGAGTTCACCCAGCATTTGAGTACGACGAGTGAAGATGTCGACTTATGAATCCACAGAAGCCGTGACAACGACAACCCGACGAGCTCTACAACCGTTATAACTACGACGACTAGATCCACGGCATCGGATGGAACTTTACAACGATAAATGGAGCGGCTTCTGGCTCGACGACAACGACAATGATCTCGACCACAGATGAAGAAAAGATTGAACCAACTTCGGAAGCCACGATCACTCGATTGCGAGCATGACTTCAACTCCAGAAACTACCGAAGTTGAGAGACTGATTGACTCGATGCCAGGATTCCTGTTTCGATCACGACAACTAAGACTCCAGAAGGAACAACGACAACTACGAGCTCGACTGAGGGAACTTCTGAAGACACGTGAAGACTGCTACTGGCACAAAGGATGCAACCGCGGCAAGCTCAACTATCAGGTTGGACAATAAGTTCTGTTACAATTTTTTGAAATAGCCTGTTCAAATCAGGAGATGTTGCCAATTTTGGAGTATGAGATATGGTCTGATAGGTTTCGCTGCTCTCTATCCCCCTAAGACCCTCAACTGACCCAAAAACTGACGGGCTTCGAGAGACAGGCCCGAGAAGTTTTTCGCAAAATCGCACGAAACGGATTTTTGCGGGTTATCTCTGCATAGAGCAATTTGCATGCGATACCTCTAACGCGAATCGATAGCCCTCGAGGAGTAGATATCGATAGACGTTGCGATCATCAAAATCGGACATCGAATGGCCGAGATATGAAATTATATGAAACTGCTTGAAAAGGTCGTAAGTTTCTAGAACTTTTCTTCTCGAAATCCCATACATTTTGGTCAAAATGCTCCCGGTTCTTTCAAAAATCAAGCGGCCAGTTTTGGCTCCGGTTGACCAAATGTATGGGATTTCGAGAAAAGTTCTAGAAACGGGCCAAATTTCAAGGGGCCATATCTCGACCATCCAGTGTCCGATTTTGATGATCTCAACATCTATCGATATCTACTCCTCGAAGCTATCGATTCGCGGTAAAGCTATCGCATGCAAATGGCTCTTATGCAGAGAATAACCTGCAAAATCCGCTTTGCACGATTTTAGTGTGGAAGACTTCTTTGAAGTGTTATCGCGGCGCCCTCTCCAGTTTTGGGTGCTAGGAGGCTCCACCCTAAATAGAGTATTTCGCTGGCTGAGACCTATCAAACCATATATCATACTATCAATTCGGGTACGTCTGCAGCTTTAACAAACTATTCCAAAATTTTGTGACAGAACTTATACATCCAACCTGATAGAACCACGTCTACCTCGACTTCGATGCCGCCACCGCCAGCTATTCCAATTGATACTACTTTGATTTCGACTAGCCGCTCGATTCGAGAGCATCGACTTTTGAATCGACGGTGACCACGACGACCGCTGCTTCGACTTTTACGGAGGGCTTGACTGCGGTAGCTTGAACTGACTAGAATTGTATATTCTAATATTGTGGATACTACGACTGGCTCGAGCACAAGGACGACGACAAGTTCGACAAGTTTTTCAACGGCAACGACTGGATCGACGAGCATGACGAAGGCCAGGTGCGACTCTTTTAAATGGTTCTCCGCCGTTGCACTTTAAGAATCGCTAAAATTTATGAATTTCTGTTTTTAAGGACAGACGACTACCACGGCTACCTCGAGCATGGTTCCCAGCACCTCTCCAGCTGCGCCTACCACGACGACAGAATCGATTACGGTAGGTTTTCATGGATTTTGAGACTATTGTTGCCTAAGCTAGAGAGTAACTGAGTAACATATCAGTTTTAGAAACTCCCTTTGAGCAGCGTGACGACAGCATCCGTCGGTTCATCTTCTCTGGCCCCTCGTCATCCGGATCATCTGCCTCGATGGGAACTTCTGGGCAGGTTCATGCAAAAGCGCTTAGGTTTTCGGGAAATTTTATACTGCAAAAAGGCCTGGGAACGCCTGGTTTTCAATTTGTTCTAATTTTACCCGGGCTAGACAGGTGCTTTCAGAGCACCTCCTCAACCGGCGGCACTAGCTCAAGCGGTTCGAGCAGTGCTGGCGGCAGTTCAAGCTCGGGCGGAAACGACTACGGTAGCGTCCTCAAAATATAGAAAAATCGAGATTTCTAGGAACCGGCCAGACATCGTTCATTGGCTCATCATCATCTGGATCTTCATCTACGGGGACGACGAGCGGAGGCTGGACAAGCGGTAGTACTGGATCGTCTACTGGCCCAACTGGTCTTTCAACAGGCTCGACTGTTTCGTCGACAGGTTCAACAGGGTCAACTTCAAGGTGGACTACGGTAAGTCGGGGCGAGTCTAAGTGAAAAATCTCATTTATTGTCTTAGACGACAAAATCCACTGCCAAGCCCCCGACCACGACTTCTGAAGGTGAGAGGATTCCGATCTCGGCGAATACGAGCAGCACTCCCGGGATCGACTTCGGTGGGCATTTTTTAATATCGAAGCACTGATCTTGTTGACAAACTTCCTTTGAAAGGTATTGCAACCGAAAATAACAGAAGTTCCTGCAAATAAACTTTAAAACAAAATAGCAAAATTTTGATTTAGGATTCCAAGACTTCGGAGCTGGGCCACGACCAGCACCACTCCTGAGCCAGAGGTCCCAGTCTTGCCTACAGGAACGGTATGTAACTTTCTTGATGATTTGAGGCAAGTTATCTCTACCATTGTTTTAGACAAGCTCAGCCAGATCGACATCTACAGCTTCGCCGGAAACCACGACAACTACGCCAACGACCACAGGAGCGACGACGTACTTATTTGATTTTATGATTTTGATACCGCGCTAATGTCGCTAATCTTGGTTTTATAGGAAGACTACCAGCGATGCAGTTTCCTCGACAGATGACTCAACTACAATCACCAGCTCGGGAAGTTCGCTGACCGGGCCGACGACCTCCACCTCTGCAGCCATTTCAGGTTAGGATAATTTATTTATTTCTATTTTGAAAGAGTGACAACAAGCTTGAGTTTCTCCACAATATGATCACTATCAGCTAAAAAATCATTAACTCTTACGACGCTTTTTATTTAGCTGGAGCCTCTGACTCATCCTCCTCAGAATCCACGAGCTCGGGGTCCACGGCCGCAACGACAGGAACTCCACACACTACTGGCACGCCATCAACCTCTTGCAGTTTTGTCGAGTGTGACCTCGTCTGGATCGACCTCTTCTGGAAGCCCTCCGAGCGACAATGACATCGACCGGAACATCAACTGGGCAAGGAGCAACTTCTGCATCCTCAACCGGAACTACATCTGAAACCCTGACCAGCCCAACCAGCCACTCGACTACGGAATGGACAACACAATGAATCGGATGCGACAACACTGACGATCAGCCAGAGCGGCACAACGGTAAAAAATTAAACCACTTTTTCCCAAATTAAAGCATCAAGGCTCATGCCAAAACCGGAAAATTGATATCTAGCGCTCTCAACCACAATTCTAATTTAGAGCACCGCCACGGGTGATGCTACCAAAATGATGGTTCCCGGAATGGTCTGCTTCCGGCCCAGTACCGTAAGTTTATCCCGACAAAGCAGAGAAGGATAGAGAGAGAGCGCGAGAGAGAGGGAGAGAGAGACATAGTAACAACGAGATAGAGGCAGATACAGACAGAGAAAGCGAGAGTGATGGATGGACACCATCTATTCGCCATTTCTTTTAGCCGGCACCTCGGTGTTCGCTGACACCGATCCGGCCCTGACGCTTGGTGAGTGGTTTAAGCATGACCTCATCCTTGACAGTAATTTTTGAGTTTCGAAGCATATTTCTGACGTCTTGTAACTTTAATTAGCTTTTAAAAATTGATTAAGCATGCAACCCATTAATTACGATCTTTTTAGACCTTTACTCCATGCGCAACAGCCTGCTCCCAGAAGTTCACGCTCTTCAACGATACGTAAGAATCTTATCTGATTTGTTATAATGCGGTCATGGGGATTGTTAACGGAATCGAAGTCACATCGATTTTTTTCAGCTGCCTGCCTGTCCTGCCCTCCTCCTACAGCACCTACTCCACAGCCTCATGGGCTGTACTGTAAGTCCAATTTCATGTGTTCCACAATTTTCATTCGTGTTTTTTTGAATTGGGGAATACCGTATTGGACACCGGATGCATTTCGAATATAGGTAAATTACCTTTTGTAGCAAAAATGTTTTTTTGAAATTCCGGCAAACTAACGCTTTTTGGCTTTCGCGCATGTTTCTCAAAAACTTATACATATAAAACACGAAGCAATACGGCTCCACCGCGGACTTAATATACTGATTCTAAATATCTGGTCGCTTTTTGAAAGGAACTAGTTAGTCCAAGGCTGGGGACGCGGGCTTTCTAGTTCCTTTATTCTCTCTCTTTCTCTCTTTCTTTAAATCTTTGCTCTGTCATCATCTTTATTGATTTCTTGGCTTATTTTTCTACAATACTAACTCCATCTATTTTCGTGGTGCCATTTTCTTTGCCATTCCATGTCATTTTCTGCCCCGCCTGGCAGGAACCGCACTCTTTTGACTGTAGACCTTCCAAAAACTTCCTGCCTGCCTTTTGATCTAAGCGAGGTCCTTCCTGCACAAATGATGCATTCTCTTCCCTGATCCTGAAACAAACACGGGGTTGTCGACTTTGTATTTAATCTTGTCACATCCACATTTTTTCGCTCCGCAAACATCTTTTCATTTTTTCAGGTCCATCGAAAGACAAGCCAAACGCTGATTCTTTTCTAATATGCTTTCTCAATTAATATCTTGTCCTCTATTCGTAATTACTTGAGTGCACAATTTTCCGCATGCATTGCTTTATTGATCTCTCGAACTCCATACCTTGTTTTTTGCTCATTCGGTTCCCAAACGGAGCCTTTGGGAATAATCTTGCTTTTGAATTGCCAAGAGTCCACATTTTCCAATTGCTTACCAACTTGTTCCGACCATCTTGTCACGCCACACACAGTTCATCTATCCGATCCTCTGCATTGTCTCTTAGGATTAAAATAGCTAAAAAATCTCTGATGGTGGAAGGAAATTGGCCAGATAAAGGGCACATTTCTAAAAGTAAATTATCTTTAGCTCTCTCTCTGCCAGCTCTATTGAGAAACATCTTGTCGATTTTAGAAATAGCACACCTATGAATTTAGTATCTATTGACCGTTGCTCCTGCCAGTTTCTTCTCTCTTGATCCCCTTGTTGCAAACTTTTTGGGGCTTTCATGGTGACTAATGCTTTTTCTACTATATACTGCTTATTTGTTTCTTGGATATAATTTGGCTGGCTCATAACTGCACAGCGACAACTCCAAAAAATTACGCTTCTTACAACGCCCTGCAAAGGCGTTACATAACTGATTATCGTACTTACTCAATGCAAGTAGTGTGGCTCAAGTTTTAAATTGATATCTAGGACCCTAGGGGATATTGCCTTTGCCTATGCCTAGAGCGAGGGGTTTCTATTAGCTAAATTTTAGAAAGAAAATCCTAGATTAGCATAATTGTGGCTCGAACAACCCTAAATAGCGGCTGTACGAGAAAGTCCGATGCTTTAATGATGGATTTGCCTAAGCCCCGCTAGCCATACAAGCTTTCCCAAATCACCTCTGCTAGCCTGCCATACACGCTTTTCCTAACAACGTCTGCTAGTCTGCCATACTCGCTTTCCCTAACAATCACTGCAAGCCATCCTTTTGCTTACCCCAACAACCTCTGCTAGCCTGCCCTTCGCTTTCCCTAACCATTTCTGCTAGCCTGCCCTTCGCGTTCCCTAACAACCTCTGCTAGCCTGCCCTTCGCTTTCCCTAACAACCTCTCTGCTAGCCTGCTCCTTCGCTTTCCTAACCATTTCTGCTAGCCTGCCCTTCTGCTTTCCCCTTAACAACCTCTGCTAGCCTGCCCTTCGCTTTCCCTAACAACCTCTGCTAGCCTGCCCTTCGCTTTCCCTAACCATTTCTGCTAGCCTGCCCTTCGCGTTCCCTAACAACCTCTGCTAGCCTGCCCTTCGCTTTCCCTAACAACCTCTGCTAGCCTGCCCTTCGCTTTCCCTAACCATTTCTGCTAGCCTGCCCTTCGCTTTCCCTAACAACCTCTGCTAGCCTGCCCTTCGCTTTCCCTAACAACCTCTGCTAGCCTGCCCTTCGCTTTCCCTAACAACCTCTGCTAGCCTGTCCTTCGCTTTCCCTAACAACCTCTGCTAGCCTGCCCTTCGCTTTCCCTAACAACCTCTGCTGGCTCCCCGACAGATGCGGCCCGACATTTGCGGCCCGTCACTTGCGCCCGACACTTGCGCCCGACATTTGCGGACGCGACATTTGCGGCCCGTCATTTGCGGCCCGTCCTATTAAGCTCGTTTTTCCCCAACAAAAAATTAAAAAGAGGGTGAGTAAGAGTCTAAAGCATTGTCAGGCAAGGTGGGCCGTCGCTTCGGATGGGCTGCCGCTCCATTCTTTCGAAATCGGGGCGCCTGAGGCAAGGCGCGCCTTCGGGCGCCCTGATTTCGAAACCCTGTAAGAGCTGCGAACCCGTCCGCAGCGACTTGGCCCCCGGTGGCAAGAAGCCTTATTTTTAGGTAAAGACCAGGGGACAAGCGATCAAACCCCGTTCAGAAAACTAGCCCTCCGGACGATTAAAAGCCTCGGTTTTGGGTAATTAACTATGGCTTTGGGCCGCAATTGTCGGGCCGCAAATGTCGGGCGCAAGTGACGGGCCGCAAATGTCGGGCCGCAACTGTCGGGCGCAAGTGACGGGCCGCAAGTGTCGGGCCGCAAGTGTCACGTCGCAAATGTCGGGCCTGCAAGTGTCGGCCGCAAATGATCGGGCCGCAAATGTCGTGGCACCCCTCTGCTAGCCTGCCCTTCGCTTTCCCTAACAACCTCTGCTAGCCTGCCCTTCGCTTTCCCTAACAACCTCTGCTTGCCTGCCCTTCGCTTTCCCTAACAACCTCTGCTAGCCTGCCCTTCGCTTTCCCTAACAACCTCTGCTTGCATGCCCTTCGCTTTCTCTAACAACCGCAGCTAGCCAGCCCCCGCTATCTCTAACAACCCCTTCTAACTTCCTCGGGGTTTGCTTTCTGCTAATTCGCTGCGTTTTTCCAGGGCATCATCGTCATCTTACCATCCTGATAACTTGCTTGTTCTTGGCTTGTCTGGCTTTGCTTCCCGGCTCGCTCTCGGGCGCTCTGTCTTTCTTTGTTAGCTACTTTTGCCTGACTTTCCCAGGATACTGAACGGCATTTGCTACATAGCTTGCCGAGCTTTGCTATTTGTTGGTTCAATTTCTCCTTTCGTTTAAAAATGCTGACTCGACGGTTTTTCTCTCAAAATAGTTTTTCAAAACCTCGTTGTCCAAAGGAATCTCTGGCACCCAGAACTCACGGAGCAAAGGTGGTAAACAAAGTTAGGGTCTGCTAAAATTTGGAAAGACATAAAAATAGTATTTCTGGGCCTAGACCGGATTTCCTTGCAAGTTCCTGATCGCACCGCGGCATTCAAGAGTAGCAAGAATAAGAATATTCTGACTCCAAAACAGATCCCACGAACGTAGAGTAATTTTATGTGGCACGATCCCTTTAAAAAAATAGGCAATTAGGAGCAAGGTACCATATCCTCACCCAGGCT